AGCTCAGCGACAATCTTCCTCAAGCAAAGAGAGGAAGATTGGCAACAGATGTTAGCTCAGGGTCAATCTTCCTCACCAAAAAAAGAAAAAGTGGATTGACTTCATGTCTTATATCCATAGCTAGTCATGGGTAAGACCCGTTACTATAAATTACTGTTAGCAGTTCAAGTGTGAGAAATTAGTGTAATTACAATACCAATATCTGTAACTTGTGCCAGTTATTAAGCTGTTGTCTTGGTTCCAAACCCACCCTTGTGTATTCTGCTTTGTGGCGCAGGGGGTGGGACTCTGCACACCCCATTTCTGCTGGGCCCTGTCAGGGTGATGCTGGGGGCAGCAGGCCCCAGCTCCCTCCCACCTGTCTGCCTGTGAGCGGCATGCAGCAGCAGTTCCTTCTGTAGCGGCTGGTGAAGCCAGCTTGCAACTTTCCAGCATGTGGTTAACCATCGTGCCTCCTCAGACACGGGCCACAGCCAGTCAGTGCCCCAGCCACAGAGGGCTGAGCGCAGCTCCAGAGGGGCCCTTCCTTCCGTCTTAACACTCCCTCCTTTTCCCTCTGCCCCCCAGCCCTGGGGAGGTGGATGCTTTAGTGCAGGGTTCTCAAGCTTTCATGCTCATCAGCCACCTGGAGGAACTGATCCCATGCAGCGTGCTGGCCCCCAAGGGCTTCTGCTTCCGGAGGTCTGGGGTAGGGCCTGAGTGTGCTGCTGGGCCGGGGACCACACTCAGAACCGCAGGCTTAGTGTTCTCTTTTTAGACTCCTCAGTTACCTAATTAATAGTTCTTTGTATCCAGTTCTCGATTCAGGTACTGGTGTGGTTTCTGCCTCCGGGCTAATACATAACTGAGTGCTAAGGGCCTTAGGTTGTCTGGCCAGTCCATGTCCTTTATTTACATTCTGGAATGGAGACCCAAAGAGAGGGTCATTAGCCGCCTTCCCCGCAGTGAATGCTCCTATTGTAGCCCTGGGAAATGCTCCTGTCCCTACCCATGACTCCAGGCCGAAAGGAACTTTGGCTGTGATGACCCGGAAAACTGCTCCATCCCCCCAAGCCCTGGGAGTTCAGCTCAGTGCCCTGGGTACTCTTTCGAAAGGTGCTCTTTGGGGACAAGTGACCTCACTCGCCCTGCAGTGGGGCCAGAGGCAGTGGTGCCGTGCAGCGCTCCATCTTGTCATTCTTGTAGATCAGCAGCACTGAGGCGGTGCTCTCAGGGTGCAGGGTGTGGACGAACAGTTACGCTGGCGCCTGGTCTCACCCTCCAGTAACTGAAGGGCTGGGCCTACACAGGCTCCAAGACCCCTTCTAGCCTGGCATTCTTGTGTTTAGGATACATACCCCTTGTCACCCTTGCGTCTGAGTTCCAGTAGCCTGGAGTCCCTTTACTCTGTTACTCTGCCCCGAGCCCTGAAGTGCAGTGCTTAGTGACAGTGGGAGGGAAGGCAAATCAAGGAATACTGAGGCTGATTCTCTTTGTTCTTCTTACCGGCAAACCTGAGCCATGAAAAAGGGCCTGGTTTAAGGCTCCTGACCCACCCCCCTTACCTCCCTCTCTTCCTCTTTCCAGTGATCCTGCCCCACATTGGCAGTGCCACCCACAGAACGCGAAACACCATGTCCTTGTTGGCAGCTAACAACTTGCTTGCTGGCCTGAGAGGGGAGCCGATGCCCAGTGAACTCAAGCTGTAGCCAGACAGGAGACAAACAGCGCCCTGGGAACTGCTGGATGTGCCCAGGCTTGGACTAGACCCTCAGGATGGAGCCAAAGTCCAATCTGTACTGATTCTGCAAGGGGAAGACCAGTGCTGAGAGACGTGCTTGCCCCCCTTTGTGGTTGGAAATTTCTGAGCCAGAAGTATGTAATCCTATTAAATAATTCTCTGAGAGATCGTCTTGGTCTGTAACTGGGCGAAGCTAATGACACAAGCACCTGCTTAGCTTTTCTAAATCAGGGCACCTAGTGTGGGTTCTGCTTCCCAGCCTAGTCCTCACTCTGGCATTTTAATTATTAGAACCGGTCCAGAACACCTTGCCCTTCACCCTCTGCTCAAATTCCTTCACGTGTCCATAACTGAGGTGGGGACAACCATAGCCCACTTGTGACCGTGGCACTTGAATCTGTTACCCAGACCATCAGGGCAAATTAAATATACACAGCAAAGAACTAGGTAGGGTCAAGAATAACTGGAGGCAGGTGGGTTTCTTAATTTTTATTTTAAAATTAGGATTAGCACCTTCAGGCTTTGCTCCCTTGTCCCTCTGCTCCTCCAACCCCACCCGCAGGTGGATGCCCTTTTTCTAATCACGACCTCACTCCTCCCCAAGGCCAAGCCTCCAGTGCCAAGGCCCTGCTCCTGCCATAGGCATCAGGTTCCAGCTCTTCCTCACCAGCCCAGCCAAGCTGAGGAGTGGAGTTTCCAACCTGGGAGGCAGGTAAGGGAGTGGCAGGAAGCGCACGATTAAGCAGGCCCTCTAAGAGTAAAACTGGGTGGACCAAGCACGAAATTTTGCACAGGCCACGGCTCACAGGCAGACAGTGCGGGCAAGGCAGAAGGGACTACACCGAGGGGAACGACCAGCGACTGTTACTAATTGACAGCATTAGAGTATTTTCTGGGAGGCTTGGTAAAAAACTACTGCCTAAAGCAGCGTTAGCAGAGAAGGCAACACTGCTTCCTTTTATTGTTCCAACCTTAATAACCTAAGTAAAGGAAAAGAACACATATTTAGATAGAAGTATGTATGTGACAAATTTTTTATTTCAAAATCTCAAATTTTGACCAGCATAGCACCACCGACATGGGTGCCCTGATAGAACTTTATGATTTGATCACCAGAAATGATGCTGCCAGGCTATAATTAAGGCTAACCAATCAATATGCAGGTACCCAATACCAGTTATAATTCAGGTAGAAACTAGAGATCATAGGAACCCTGGGACTGGTTTTCCAGGGAACCTCTGGATTATTTTTTAAGTGCTACAGCATGTATGAGGACTCTGGCCCGCGAGCTTGCTTCCCACACGCAGAAACTGATTGCCTACAGAGGTAGATGAGATTCCAGATTCCATCCAGCAGTGGAGAGGCAGGGCTCCAGCCGCTGTGTCAGAGACAGGCCCCAAAGCAAAGTCCACTTACGCCTGACTGAGGTGAGGGGCAGCCTCCTGGCACCCTCCTCAAGACGGAAGGGAAGCAGGGCCGCCACTGCTCTTCTTGGTGTCACTGGTTCCTCGCCCTGGGCCCAGGCAGGGCCTCTCTTGTTGTCCGTGGTTAATCTCCTCACAAGACACTGTCACCACATCACGGAGAGGGTTGGTTGTTGAGCCTCCTCGCGTCCAAGTCAGAACATGACTGCTGACGAGCTGCACGCAGCTCAGCTTCCCAGGTGACCCCATCCCCTCCGACAGTCTCCCACGTCTGCTGGGAAGGAGAGGAATCACAGAGGTTTCCCTTTTGGCTCTCCTCCCTGGGAAGCAGTTCACAGGAGATGCTAAACCCAACTATGAACATTATGAGTTTATCCACAGACAGATGTGTAACTGCACACAGTAGATTACGAGAAAACACACGCTAACTTTTATTTTAGGCTACACATTCCTAGCTTTCTAAACAAGAACTGAAGGATTTCTCTCAATTATGCACAATGGTTTGGTGTCTCTAAAAAAGCTGTATAAAAAATGAACTCGTGTTCATGTATGAATTAGACTGACTACATGAGCTCCACAGAGACACATGAACCTGTGCTGTTCCCTGGAAGCATATGAGCCAGGGCTCAGCCTAACACAAGTGCCACCAACAGCCCTGATGGCACAGGGTCAGAAGACGACAAGGCAGGTGGGGCTGCGGAAGTGAGGCAGTGGGGCCTAGAGAGCCCTGGGCTGTGACCCATGTGTCTCCTGGAACAGTCTCAGATGCTACTTGGTGACTTCTGTGTTCTGGGCTATCCAGCCCTCTTAGAGAGTCTGGAAAATGTTTACCCGCGAACACTGCCATGTTTGGCTTTCAAACAATTTCAAACGTTCAGTATTGGGTTGGGGCAACAACAACAAAAGTGCAGGGTCTCTACTTTTAAACTCTAGTATATATAGTGGAGGGCGGGCTGACATCATTTTTGGTTAGTTTATAACTGAAAACAGTCATCTAGGCCTGGAAAAGACAGCATATGGGGCACAAGAGTGAAGAGAGGAAGCACAGAACGGGCCTATCACTGGGTGAGACGGGTCAGGCTGGACTGGCCCCCGAAGTCTGGATGGAGCAAAGGGAACGTGCACCATGAAAGATCCCACAAAACAGGACTCCACGTCATCAGAACAAAGACAAACACTAGCTCTTTTCTGACTTCCAAACATGGAACTGTAACATTTGTAATCCAAGTGGGTTAAAATACTGCTAAAATAGCACATACAGAAACAATATCTTACTTGTCACTCCCTACAAGAACATACTCCATTTACAACTTTGTTTTTAAAACCAGAAAAACCGTTAAAACATCTATTCAACAGTGATGTTTTCAAAAGTATATACACCTAACAGCCCAGAGAATGCTCACTCTGGACCCATTGTCAGCACCATCAAAGTGCAGTGTCTGTGACTGCAAATCAGACAAAAATAAAAAAATACAGTACTTTCTGAGGCCTAAGACTAGCTCATGATAGACTTTAAAGCATTTGTGGCAGACAGGCGTGTCCTCAAGAGCCTTCCTCTTAGGCACAAAGTTGCCACTGGTTACACATAAGTGCGTTTTGCATCACTGTACATGTATATAATATTTCCATCAGAGGATATAGGAAATTTAATTAAATGCTTCACAAAGTTTTACAAAAACTGCTAAAAAATTTTTTTGCACTTCAATTTTTAATTTTTAAATGTGCCACTTTTAACAACATCAATTGCAAACTACTTTCTGACTGCATATGCAACCCTAGGGAAGAACCTGACATCAGGGATGGCACTCCTCTCTGAAAGCGTGCACGTCACTCAGAAACGCAGCAGCACGAGCACTACGCACACTAGCTCTCCACTTAGTATCAACGGAATCTGCAGAGAGCCACTGGGCAGCCTCAACCTCAACGGCATTAATACCAACCGAGAGAGATTTCAGTTTTGGTCCCAGCCCTGGCGTCGGCCTTATCTCAAGAGGTCGAGGTCAGAGCAAAGTGCTGGGAAGGTTGCTGCTCTGCCAGCGCAGGCAGGTCGTCTTCGAGTGTTTATACAGATGGCTGGACTGACTGAACCTCTTGCCACACTTGAGGCAGGCGTAGGGTTTTTCACCCGTGTGAACACGGATGTGTTTCTTGCAATCCGTCAAGGTCAGGAAAGTCTTGCAGCAGATTTTGCAGGCGTACTTGCGAGCTCCCTCCACAACCAAGACATTGTGCTCAGACAAGGCCTTCTTGCACTTCGACAGGACGTCAGCTGATGCCCTAGTCAACTGGGGGGGGCCGGGCTGGGAAGGATGGCCGTTTTCAAATGAAGACGTGGCCCCATTCATCATTAACTGGGAGCTGGCTGGGTTTTCTGGGATCTGTGAGCTCCTGACAGAAGTTACAACCGGCATTTTGGGAGCTATGCGGCGGTAGTATGGAAAGTTACTGGCTCCTCCTCTCGGGGAGCCCATCATTACCCTGGAGAACGAGGAGTGGAGGCCCAAACCAGACCTGGAAAAATCCATCCCAAACTGTTCTCCTCCTTGGTAGCCTGAAGTCTGCACACACGGCAGGCCCATCACTTCCTGCATAGGCCTAACAAAGTGGGACTCTGCAGGCTCACTGAATGGGTTCTCCACATGAGCGCCAGGGGCTGAGGAGGGCCCAACTGCAGGCCCAGCCTCTGGACTCAACAAATAAGGGGCCTCCCCCTCCAGCCGGCAGTCACTAGTGGTGTTTGGGATATTATCATCATTGTTCTGATTTGCACTAAAGTTACTTCCTCTGCTCTTGTTAAGAAAATTTGAAATGCTAAAGGTGGATTTATGTTCCAGGTTATTTGTGACTTCCAAAATATGGATGTCACCTCCCCTGTCAGTGCTAGACTGGGGATCTGAAAAACTCCGATCGCTGCTTTCAGGGCTGAGGTCTATCTTCTCGGCGCTGACCACAACTCCTTCCACTTCCACAGACTCGCTCCCTTCTGCTTGTGAGGTCACATCACTTACTTCATCCTGGGGCTCTGGAGAGCTCAGGGGCTCCGATTTGACCACCACTCTCATGTGCTCCTTCTCACCAAGGCCACCCTCAGGATTTTCACACTGAAAACCACTTTTCTCAGTTGCAGCCTCCTGCTCAAAGCTAGTCTCAACCTGAGTTGCGCGAGAGGCCATGGACAACTGTGCCATGTTGCCAGCAGCGTTATCAGACTGACTAGGCACCTGGGCATCTTCTTGAGCACCAAAAGACTGGTCAAACATGATGGCACTGTCTTCCTGGTTGTCGGTCATTCCATCAGCCTTAGGGTTATCCACAATTTTCAGAGAATCTGGTGAAAAGAACTCCTCCCGAGAATGAACGCCTGATGGCCCATTCTCTGGTGTAACATCGGCGATGGCAGACTCATCCATGGTAGGTCGGAGGCGTTGTCTGGCCCGCTCCTCTGCAGACTGCTTGCGCTTATGAAGGCGTCTCATCGGGAAGGCCGTCCGCTGGTCCAGGTTCCCGCGCATTGATGAGCTCATGGGAGCTGGCTGCTCCTCGCCACTTTGGCTGGAATTGAGGGCTGAGCTCACGATGCTGAGTCCCAGCTGCTGCAGCATAAAGGAGCGCTGCATACGGGCACTCTGCTCCTGAACGCGCTCACTGGGGGGAGACATGGGCAGCGTCCTTGTCGTTAAGTAATGTTTACATGCCTTAACAACAGAGTTCAAATGCAGGTGAGAGGCTGCCAATAAGACATCCATAACATTGCTTTCCCCCAGCATGAGGGTGGAGGTGTACATCATGTCAATCAGGGCAGCAAAGGCCTCTGCTGTCACTACCTCGCTATCCAGCTGGATCATGTTCATGGTCTGATCTCCCTCTGCCACTGAAAAGAGGGCTCGGAAATGCGTGCTGCATGCTGCCAGTACGGAGCGATGGGCTTTAAAATGTCTATTCCCCACTACAATGACACAATCACAGAGCTGGCCGTGAAGTCTCTGGTAGTTCAGTTGTTGGAAGATCTGTTCAAAATGTCCAGGAAAATCCATGATCCTATGGGAAAAACAAGGAAAGAAAGTGCTGAGACTCAGAAAAGCTTAAGTCAAAGTCAGAGTACAGAGGATGTGATGAAAAGAGACATAGATGGCCAAGCTTGGACCTTTTAAAGCTTGTGATGTGAGCCTGGCCCAGTGGCATAGTGATTAAGTTGGCACATTCCACTTCGGCAGCCTGGGGTTTGCAAGTTTGGATCCTGGGCATGGACCTACACTCCACTCATCAAGCCATCCTGTGGCAGCATCCCACGTACAAAATAGAAGAAGAGTGGCACAGATGTTAGCTCAGTGACAATCTTCCTCAAGCAAAAAGAAGAAGATTGGCAACAGATGTTAGCTCAGGGCCAGTCTTCCTCACCAAAAAAAATAAATAAGGCTTGTGATGTTTCTGATGATGAGCAAAGAGACTAAAAACCTGTCAAATAAGGGGCAAATGCTAATTCAGCTAACAGCCCTAGAAGCACGCACACATGTGGGATCAGCTACTGGTTGGTTATAGGCTCCCCTTTGCTCTTCATATGACCCACTTTAAACACTTAGGGCCCATGTTAGAAAAAACCAGTGTGGGTGTGGGTGATGAAATATCCACCCTACAGAAGTTGGTTAGAGTTCTGCATTCCCTGAGGACAATGAATAAACTCCAAGGAATTCCACATGAGTCTTCTAGCAACCTTAAATAAGTGAAAAGGGCAAATCAATATCAGCGGGGAAGATTTCCAGTTACAGATGGTCACAGATTGCACACGTGTTTACCCCCTACTCATTCCTGAAACCCCTTTAAAAAGATACTAAAGTGTTTTGGTTTTGTTGTTGTTTTAAAGGTATAAACCCACAAGGAAAAAAAGAATGGGAAACAAATATCAATAGCATTTTGGGAGCTGGTGAGCAGGTGAATGAATGAGTGCTAACTGACTTAGCATACCTAGAAAGCTAAATCCTAACTGGCAGTGGATAAAAGCACCTGACTCGCATATAAGCGCCCCACTCATCCAAAGGCTGCAGGATTGGCTGCTAGACTGAGGATCTGCGGTAAGATAATGACCTCCTTGGAGCTTGGCACTGATTAGCATCTGAGCTTACTTTCTAAGGAGGGGGCCATAAAGTTGTGAGCAGTAATTGCATGTTGTTTAATCTCCCCAAAGCCTTGAGCTCTGTGGGCCCTGAGTGAGTTGGGTGGGCATCGGGGTGTATGTGCTGCTGCCTACCATTGTTGACCCTTTGCTCCTAGCAGGGAATCTTCATAAAGCAAGAGAGGGGCAATGGGAAAGTAGGTGTTTTAGTGATATATTTTGTTGTTGGAAGCTCATCAAAGGTAGAAAAAACATAGGAGGTAAAAGAATGTGGCCAACATGTGGCCACTGCTTTGAGGCGTTTTACCATCCCAGTTGTTGCTCTGTAAGTACAGCAGAGGCCTGTGACTTAATGCTCTCAGTTGGCACCTTAAGTCCTGGTTTTTATGGATTTAGAGTTTGCCATTTTTTTGCTATTTCTCAGGGAGCCTGAAGGTGGGCTGTGGTCACTTGTTTTGCTGAGTCCTAACTTTGGCCTAATCTCTACTGCCAGGGCCCCAGAGCAGGTGGTTGAGCCTGGTGCGCTGCTTGACACCCATGTTGCCTTCTGCTTGCCACCGTCCTTGCAATGTGCCATATGGTATTTGTGAACGTGGAGATTTGCAAAGATCTGAGGGGATATACCATTAGAATGTCAAGGATCTACCATGTTTTTTTAAATTTCATTTTATAAAAGTTAGTATATGTATATGTTTATATTTTAAAAGCCACATAGTTCTATAAGGCTTAGAGCTAAAAGCCAGTAGTCCCCTTCCCCTCCAAATTCCCACTCCTCAGAGGCAGCCGCTTTGAGTTGTTTCAGGTGTTCTTGCACTATTGACTTCTGTATTTCTAAGTAACACGCTTTATTACTAGTTCTGGAGATAGTGTTTCCGACAGTATTTCTTGACTACTGGGGAAGGTGAGAATTTAGCTTTCTCATACCACATCTCCTCTGCCTCCCCTCCCGTGCGAACTGGCCTTCCCTCACTCTTCCAGTAGCTCAGATTTGGTTCAGTGTTCACATTATTAAGACTACGTAAATGTTGTCCACAAGCAAACTACATAGTGTGCTGCAACTAAACACCACTTATTTTTCCTGGAGTTAATAACTGCCGCTTTTAAAGTTTCTTTTCTTTTTAGTGACCTATCCTCACACTTTCATGGAACTGTTAAATTCTTAGCGCTCTCAATCGTATGATGCGATCTACCCATTCTTCTCTTTTTGTTTCTTGGGGAACACCTTCTTGGAGTCCTCTGTTTTCCTGCTCCAGTCCGAACTGGTTGCTCTCCGGCCCTGCTGCCTAGCTGTCATCGGGGCTTCACTGTCATCTTTAACATTCTCTTTGCGCGTTTTCTGTGGTGAGTCTCCAATTGCCTACATTCTTTGTCTTCCTTTTCTTGGTTTATTCATAGCTTCCTTAAGCACCTTTAGTAGTTTCCTGTGAAAGGATATGTAGGAAGTAAACTTTTGAGTTCTTGCGTGTCTGAAAATGTCTTGGTCTACCCTCATAATTGATGGATAGTTTGGCTGGGTATGGTCTAAGTTGGAAATAATTTTCTTGGAGAATTTTGAAGGAACTCTATCACCTTTTAGCTTTCAATATTGCTTTTGAAAAGTCTAATGCCAGTTTTATTCATGATTCTTTGTAACCGGAAGTGTGTGGCCAGGTCCTCCTTCTAGCCTGTCTTAGTTTGGGAGCTTCACTGAAACCTGTCCACCATGGGTGATCCCGCTGGTATGTGAAATAGCAGTGGCATAACTTTCAGCATCACAGCAACACACAGCTGCCACAGTATGACAACCGACAGACATAGTGTGCTTCCGTGACTGGGGAATAAACCTGGCCTCGGCAGTGACA